GACTCTGTGCAGGGAAGGGCTTTAGGAGAAGCCTGTCAATGGGCAAACTCTGTTATCATGGTTACAACAGAAGGCTATTGTAGTTCCTGTTTTCTAAGTAATTTCTGGTTTCTATTCTATTTTTCTTTTGTATTCTCCTGTCACTTTTCTCTTTCTTTAACCTAAACTGGAAACCAGGTTTCTTACAATGTCCTTCTGTGAAGTAACCTTATTAATCTTGTATGCCAGCCCTCTGCTGGCATAGAAATCACAAAGTACAGTCAGAGAACTGACTGACTATTCAAGGCAAGAAGAACCATAAAAGTTGGAGAGGGAACAGATCAAGGAGAGACAAATAAACTGGGCAGTGTAGCAGCAGCATGTATCACTCAACCTTGGACTTTCCCCAGAAATTAAGATATTCAACAGATAAAGATAACCTCTACTGTACATCTGACATCATTGGATCCTGCCTTGGAGGCTGACATAGATTGCACAAACCTGAGACCTCTCAGGAGTGATACAAGCAAAGAAATTAATGCAAGAGCACCTAGGTGGATTTCGACATAACGTGATGCTGAACATCTCTGTACTGAGGCTTCCCTAAGTACAGCAGTGTTCTTGCTGTATTGTCTTCCTCAAAACAAAGATGGAGCAGATTTCTGTGCACTTCACAGATCTTTGCTGAATTTTAGCTGCAGTAGAAATACAAACAGATGTGAATGGTTTAGTTTAGGAATGTGTTTTCTTGGAGAGTTGAATTTGCATTCAAATCTGTCACCAATTCAGCCCAGATATATGCCCCTTATCTAATAGAATTTCTGCAGGGAACACTATACACCAGCATGAGAATGTTTTTTGGAGAACAGGAATATAGCTTTTTGTGCAACATTAATGTTGCTTGGACTGCAATCTACTCTGAGATATATGATTGTAACATTTTTCTATGATTGCCAGAATTTCCAACAGTTCCCCTGGAAATAACAAAAACGTATTGGCTTAATTTCGAGAGATTATGGAGGTTTTTTCTTATCCTGAGAAAAATTGTCTTCAGTACTGTAAGTTATACCTGCTTTTGATTTAAGGACCTATTGCACAGGGATAGGTCAGCATATGCATACTTTAGAGCAGGTAGCCCTTCGTGTTCTCTGTACTTGTCGTATTTCAGATAATGCTTTAAAGCCTAAAGCAGCCTGTGTGAGGTTGTCAGGTTATGATATCTTCCCAGAGCAGGGGCAGACTTAAATAGTGCCATGTTTGATGAGCAATTTCTGAGTAATTTTTATCTAAGCAATATTAAAAAAAAAAACAAACAAAAAACAAAAAAAAACCCCACACAAAAAAAACCACTAAAACTTTTTTGTGCTGAGAAGCTCTGGGAGTATAAAAACCCAAGTCACTAATTGGGACTTCTGAAAGCTGTGTTAGGTTTCATCCTGTTTAACAACCAATCTACTTGTCTGGGAATTAAACCCAGCTCCCTAAACTGCCATAACAAAAAGATGGCATAAATTTGGAGGCTGGGAACTGAGGACTTCAGAGCCAGAATGTCTTGCAGCTGCTCCCAGATTCATTTCAATCTTTATGTTGGGACCCTGAATAATCGATTGTTCTTTAATTATCTGGCTCAGTATAGTAACCAGAGTCTGTAATATCTTAAGAATCACATCTCAGTTGGAAGTTCTCTTGATTCATCATTTCCCATTGGACTTAGACTGCCCTGATAATTACTTGCTCATTATTAGGGTAGGGCAAAAGGCCTACAAAATCTGTGAGCTCAATAAAGTCACTTGTTTTGACATGCCTGATTGTTCTTTGGAGACTGGTGAGTGAATCCAAAGACCACTTTACATCTCTGGAGCCAAACCAACAACTCTAAAATTCGGTAGTAATCAAATTCTGTCACACCTTATATCAACTCAATGCAGAATGAAAAACAAAAGTGTCATGGAAGCAGGCTCTGCTTCATTACTGAATGCACCTTAACCCCATGAAGTCTGAACCCTGAGACTCTTCCATTTCCCCTGGACTCTCCAATGTTGTATCTAACAGAATCTCTTCCTGTCTGGGATTAGAAGGTGTTTGCCAGGCAGCAGTTCTTAACCCTCCTAAATTGTTATCCATCTGGGAGACTCTACCTGTTTGTAACAAGGTGACATATATACTAATAGAGTAAACCCAAGTATGAATAAAACATTTTATCAAAACTAGAAAGCAGGATTGTAGGAAACTGGCTTTAGGCCATTCCTTCAATTTTAGAGCGAGTTTTGGTTTTTGCTTCCCAATTTTATTGCATTGGATTTTGTCCATTTGCAATCTAATAATTACTGGTGATTGGAACATCCCTCGCTTAGCTGAAAGATTCTGAAATGCTGAGATAGAAGAATATCAAAATATCAACATGCTGCAATTACAAGCAGCTGTGAGAAGAGTCAGATATAATGAGCACTGTTCACCTTCGAGGTTTAAATTGGCAGGTATGTAATTTTGTCTTTAACACTGGTAAAAGGTGGAAGGCTTATTTAGCAGTCTGTTTTTTCTAATAAAGTATGAGATAGTATTCTGTCTGTAAGGGCTCTTGTTTTTTTCCTGTGGAAAAAGCTGGTGTTCACACTGTCCAGGACGGGCAGGCATGTCCTATGTTTTACACATAATGATGAGAAGAACACTAGGTTATGGTTAGTACTTCTGATAATAGCAAAAGTACCAGGAAAAGCACAGGAATATTCATAGTCTACAGTGTTAGGCGGAAGATGTAAAAAAAAGTCCTTGTTTAGCCTGGCAAAGGGATGGTGTGGTTATATTTTGACAGCTCACATTCCCTGTTAGGAATAAATGTCCAACTCTGTGGCCATTGGAGTGGATTGTTTGGGGAGCCTCTGTCTTCAGAAGAGTTTAGAACGGTTCAGGCAATTCTCAAGAATGGATTAAGTGCAGCTGTTCTTGTCTTGGGGCTGGGGACAGCCTGCATCCTCCCTCAGTGTCCCTGCAGTTATTCCAGTGCAATTGTCCCAGCCCGAATTGCCTGCCATAACCATGGCCATGGCTTTGCAGATTTTCTCCACTCACACAATACGAGACTGGCTACTCCCAGCTATTTTTCACTCACATATTCTTGAAATACTTGCTTAAAAAAAAAAAAAAAAAAGCAGTTGATAGCCTGAGACTGCTTATTTTGCATCTCCTCAGAACTATTAAGACCTACTGGCAGACTTACTGTAGATCTCTAAATTTCAGAGCTCCAGGATCAGTGTTGGTGTTTCAGCCTTGGAACTTGCAGTTTTCACAATTCTGTTAGTGATATGAGAATGTGAAGCTTCAAAACACAAATTCCTTTTTCTTCTGAACATTCTTGACTGTTTTTTTTTCTCCTTGTCTTCTTTTAAGGGAGGGGTTTGGGTTTTGTTTTTTTTTTAATTTCCTTACCTTCTTCTGTCTAGATACATTGCTGCTGTATTAGTGGCAGCATGTTCTTTTAAAGACAGTGTAAACAGATTAATATAACAACATTTATGCTGAAAGGCCAATGCCCCCATAATGCACTACCTATGTACCAAATAATTGTCTTGGTAAGTATCAGAAAGGCTGAACTTTAGCTGCTGCATACAATAAAGTTCAACAAAACTCTACCCAGAGAAAACTTTCTGTGTAATGGACAGATGAATGAGAGAGTGCAGAAGAATAATCTCCTGGGGACTTTCCTTTGGGGTAAAAAAAAGAAAGGCGGTTTATGCTGCAATGTTAAGAAAAAAAGAACAAACCCCATCTATTTCTGTGAAGAAAAAGCCTGTAGGACACCTCTTTCCTCTCAGTACACCAGTGTATACTTTCTTCTCTCTATAAAATAACTCAAGCCTTCTTCATAATGCTTATCCTGCAGAGACCAGAAGTGATGTTCAGGCAGGAACACCAGCCTAAAGAAAATTTGCCACTTCATCCCTATCCTAACCCCATTCCACACACAAATTTCCAAGTTAAAGTTCAAGCTTGAGGTAACTTGCCTGGCAAAAACAGGTTGTTTGACTCTAAAGCTACAAACACAGTAGAGATGAGTTATCTACAATTACAACAGCTTATCAACAGCTTAGCAACTGCTAATCCAATTAGTCTGCATGTCTCACTGCTGTGTGGCTCCCTCAGTCCTCCTAGGCTCAAGGTAGGCAGTAATTCACATGCACTGTGAGATCTAACACCTGCAGGAAAGACAAGCTCTAAAAACTCTCCTGAAGGAGGATGAGTAAATCACTAAATGTCCCAAGAGTAATTTAGATGCTATGATCACTGATGCAGGCAGTCTGTAATCACCTTTTATTGACAGCTCCTAAAGATCAGTGTTCCTTTGAAGCTGCCTGGAGTGAAGGCTGGAGGGTCTAACACAAGGTACAGTGACAAGACCAAAATCTGGCACCAAATGAACCATTCTGGGCCAGGGGCAGCACTTGTCAGCCTTTGAGTGCAGTGCTGTGCATTGGCCCACAGTCACTGCTGGAATTTACACCATACCCTGAGAGACAGCTCGTTATAAGGACTGTAGCAGTTTGCTTACACAGAGCCATGACTGAGAACTTCAGATACCTCTGCCTTTCTTCTCCAGAAAACACAGTAAGTAATCCTGTAATGGAACACTTGCAAATACACTTTCTGTATAAATAAACACTGGACCTTAAGCATTTCTTAAACTGGTGTTTGATTACTTAAATAAATTAATCGATTTATTTTTAAAAATTATATGCTTCCTTGTGCACATTTGGGAAGCTATGGTTCGTCTGAGAGTTCGTTACCACAGCTTTATAAACACCTGAACACAGTCCTGGAAAAACAAGAATCTTAAAGACAGGCTGCTACCAGGTACCACCCAACAACCCACAAAGGCATTCCACTTACCACAGTAAATGAGATCTCAAAGACACTTGGCAAAAATGAATATAAATTCTCTAAATGTGTTAAAACATAAAGTGAATTGTTAGGTGTGTGGTTTGTGTATTGGTATCAATAATCATTTTGTATTTGCTTTCTTGCAGGAGGTGAAGTCACCAAGCCCAGATTTGCTCAGTATTTCCATGGCAGCCTGGCCAGTCTTACTATCAGGCCAGGGAAAATTGAGAGTCAGAAAGTGATTTCCTGTTTGCAGGCCTGCAAGGAAGGTCTGGATATTAATTCTCTTGAGAGTCTTGGCCAAGGAATAAAGGTGAGGGATGAACTGACATCATCTTTGATAAAAATTTAGGTCTGATTTATGAAGTGGAGAGCCCAAGGTAGAGTACACACAGTACAAATGTACTCCCAGAAGCAATGTAATTTCCCATAAAATCATGCAAAGAAAAAGCAGAACAGTAGAAGAGCTGTGACACTGCAAAGAAAAATGTTTCCATTATTGCTAAGCTAGATGCTCAGAAAGTGAGGCACTGCTGATATTTCAGAGTCCCTGTGAATTACTAGGCTGTGTTCTCATGCTTATTTTGGTAGTTCTACAGAAATAGACAAAATTTATTGAATTTTGATCTCAAGTAGTTTTAAAACAAAGGAAAACATAAGTCCTAATGCAATAGCATTGAAAAATTCAGTGTGTTCAAAGAGGAAGATATTATGGTATGTGAAAATTTGACAATAGAAAACCCTGAAGTCAAGAAATTAAATTTATAGATTTGCATATAAATCATTATCCACCTTCACTATGCATATGAATATCTTTACTGGTAATGTGGCACTTTTTCTGAGGTTGGAGAACAACAAATGGAGGGAAATCCTGTTTCAATTGACATAGTGGCCAGATTACTTTACATTCATTCAGACAAACTCTGTTCTCTGGATACATATGTAGGATCTCGGCTGTAACTTCTGTAATGCTCACATGAGCTGCATTTTACTGGTGCCATTATTAGGTGACCAGTGTTCTTGTGCTTTTTGTGTAAATGCACTGTAAAGCTATTTCCTAGCACACAGATACCACCTTCCAAAGGAGCTTAGCTTCGAATTCCAAACTGGGAAGTTACTTTGGCTGCAGGCTCTGCATCCTGTGAAAGTGCACAGTGTGGTTTCAGCGTGGTGTTTCTCAGCTGGGAGGAAGATGGTGCTGTAACACTTAATGCAGAGGATGCATTTGGAGTGCCATGTACTACATTTTATTAGCTAAACCTCTCATTGTACGAGATAGCAGGCTGACCTGAAATACACTCCAGTGTCTGTCTGGGTGATGGGTTGCAGTGTGTAGTATAGCTGATATGTTTTCTGAAAAGAAGGGTAAAAATGCAAATTGGAAGTGCAAAGAGAAGGAGGAGTTTTGCTGGCTCTAACTTTTATATATGAGCAAAACACCCCAAAGAATTGCTGTTTTATCATCCTACCAAGGACATAATTAAGAATTTCACATCGCTACTTCTCACAGCAACACGACACAGGGATTGGTAAAACCTGTTTTTAAAAGGCAGGAGCAGGTAGGGACTCCTGGAACCCAAGAGTATATGCTCAACAATAAGTTCTTTGCTGGGTTTTTTTACATGAATTAAAGCAGTGTACACTTGGTCCTTGGTGCTTGAAAGCATAGTAAGTCCTCCACTATTGCATTCTGCAGCTTGACAATATTTGAGTCTTCTAGTTTCATGGGCTTGGAAAAATCCCTGTTCTGTCACCCACTGCTGCTGCAGCATGGGGGATTGGCTTCCTTACAGTACAGCAGTGGTGTGGGGAAAAGGAAGACGAGGGCTTGTTTTCTGCCTTTTCTTCCTTCTGCGAACCTTCAAAACATTTTCATTTTCTGAAATAGAGATGAGGCACAGTGGGTTTTTTAAAGTTACAGATTTGCTTTTACTACCTCAGCAAGCTCAACAGCAGGAGGCAAACATGAAAGGAGCAGTCAGAGGTAGAATGTGGTAGGGTTTCTTTTGGGGGCTGACAGAAAGAAGCTCAGATAAAAGCAGAGCAGTTTGCCTGACCTTGAACAGAAAATTAGAGAGAAAGGTGTTCTGGTGTCAGAAATAAATGTACCTGATCTCAGACAGGCACGTGTGACAGCTGCACAGGTGATGGGTTCTGTGGGGCTATTTACATGATGCTTTGCAGATTCAGTGTTGGCATAACTGATGTTGGAAGGTGTTTCTGCTGGGCACTTGGGACTCGTGAAGATTCACCCTTTAATCACCTGAGAAAGAGCAATGCAGCTGTAACACAGTTTCTGACACGATAGTCTTGGACATTTTTGGTCTGCAGCCTAATTTTCAGATATCTGTAACAGCTCTTAAAAACACTGTCTAAACTGTTGCTATTTTTAGCCTTTTTTAATGAGAAAGACAAAAATGGCTCAGATTAGGGCTTTCTCCAGTCCTTTTGGCAGCATTCCAGCTGTTCTGGCAGCTAGAGTCTCCTTTTGCTAATTTTATTCCCTACTACTGCTAGCTTACAGAAAGGAAAAAGAAGTGGATGCAGGCTGTGACTCATGTTAGTTCTTCTCTTTGTTAAAAATACCCTTCAGTGTGTTATGACCTTCTTGCACAGCTTTAAACCCAGTCCTCCATGTTCTGTTCGACAGAGAGCCCTGAGCTTCATTCTGTTCTTCACAGTCTGTTTGATCTTTTGCTTTTTAACCTTTCTTGTTGTAAGGAAGTGTAGGCAGATGTATATAATAGAACATGTTCATATAATCAATATCCAGCTTCAGGAAGGGACTACACGTGGTAACAGGGTGCATTTCTTTGTGGTTTGTGCTGACAGGAGTAGGGTACAAAATCAAGGGGGTTAAGCTGGTTTTCTCTGCAATGCAGATGATTTGCTGAACCAATTAAGAGACAAAAAAATGGAATCAGGATAAATTATGATGAAGAGAAAAATCAATCATTTGCTATGTCACAACAGTAGCAAAGTTTCTTGGTCAGCAAGGCTGTTTTGTGTTCAGTGCAAGAGACTAGAGAAGGTTCAAGGGCTACAAGAGCAGCCATCGACTTTGCAGGGTTTGTTGGCTCAAATGAACAGCTGGCTTTGTGCAAGCGGCAGCTCCATCTTAAATCATGACACCCTTATTGATCACGAGACAGAACTGAGAATCCCCTTTATTGTGTCTGACATTAATGAAGATGTAGGAGGCAAATGTTATAATTGTTTTGTTCATTCATGTTGAAATATATCTCAGAAAGGTAGCCCAGGGTAAAGCCACAGAGAAAGCAGCTAAAATATGCTTCCACATGCTAGTCTGGTTCAAGCCAATGTTTTTATATGGAGGGCGTGTTTAACCTAAAAAGCTTACATAGTAATAATAATCACAGTGGTAAGTTAAGGTTTTGAACTCTACAGGATTCAAAAATATACAGTATCAGAAATTGCTGCAGAACTAGTACCAGCAAAGTTGATAAGGCTGGGCAAAAACCAGGACATTTACTCCAAAATTAATTATAACAGTAGTCCTTCAGATATGAGACTGACACAAGTACATGTTTTAGGGAACAACATGTGGGTTCAGCCAACAATAACTACTATGATTTTTTTTTCTTAAATCATTAGATTTTAAACTTGTGTCTGTGCAATGTTCCTTAAAAATATCTTATTTTGTACTCTGTACCTGATACCTTAAATACTAATTATGTGTATTTCTCCTAGTATCACTTCAACCCTTCCCAGTCAGTCCTTGTCATGGAAGGAGATGACATTGAGAATATAAATCAAGCTCTCCGAAAGGTCTCATACATCAACTCCAGACAGTTCCCTACTGCAGGCGTACGGCGTCTCAAAGTCTCATCTAAAGTCCAGTAAGTTATACTTCAGCTGAATTGATTAGATTAGGAACATTTTTAATGAATTACTTTTTTCTTTGGACATGTAAAAGGAAGAATTTTGGCTAAATTAAATTGATAAATCATACTGTTTTGTTATTGAGCATAAAGGATTAATTTAATTTACTTTTATACCAATGCACATGGTGGTTTTCTTTTGATATTATCCTTTTAAGGAACCTTTCTTGTTAGTGTAATGTACTTGCATTCTGTTTATAGTTTGGAACATGTAGTCTGGACTGAACAGTACTTGCATTTATGGCATTCGTATTTACTTTTCATTTTAAATGTTTATAGTTCCTTCTGAGATATGTAGAGCCCTGACTTTTTAAAGCGGGCCTACTACATCTAACAGGACAGGATTTGTAGCTTTACTTGGAATAGTCTGTCTGTCTGTATCCTCATATGCCTGCTGTCACTGAAATACTGGTGATGAGTGTTAAACAGGAATCTGTGTCCTTCCATTTTTGTGCCAGAACCTGCTCAATAATGTTTACAGTTCTACATAGCCAGAGAGCCACTCCTGGGCTCCCTTGGGGCATGCCTCTGGTACAGAAAGTTGTGCAGTGCAGGGAGAGCAGGTCTAGAGTGAAAATAAACATCAGTTCTGTGGACTCTCACCTGCTGTGTGCACAGTTCTCACTAAGTACCGGGTTTAGTCCAGTGCTGTGGGTTGACCAAACTGCATTTTCTGATGCAGTTTCACTGGAATCAGTCCAGTTTGCACACTCCAAGGCTGGCCCAAGCCCTGTGCCAGGATGAAATAAGGTAGAATTTGTCAGGAGATTCACTTCCAAAGCACAGTGCTGATTCAGATGAAAATGCTGGTACAGGAACCTTTTCTCCCTTGTAAATACTGGAGGGTGCCAGTATTTGACAGGGGACCAATTTAAATGGATAATTAGGCCCTTTTATTCACATGTGACAAGATAACCATATTATATTCATTAGATATCACTTTCAGAATTTAATGTTAGTTTTACTGTAGTTGTTATCATCTAATTATTTCTGGTGAATGGTTATTCACTACTGTTGTTAAATGTCAGTTAAACATCAAAATATTATTCTCATAATAAGTGAGTACCCTTATGAAAGACTGAGCTTGTCTCTACATAATTTCAGTAGTTGTCAGAGTGGGAGGGGATGAGGGGAACAGAGCTGTTCCTCTCCCTGCTGGCCTGTGGACATGGTGGTACAGGTCCTTGATTGTGGCAGTGTCACAGTGTGGGATAGACTGACCTGAGAGCCACCAGGTGGGGTTTGGGCAGTGCAAGTGCCACACTGATGTGCAATGTTTTACAAGCAGTTAACGAATAATATATTTTTTCAGATGTTTTGGTGAAGATGTCTGCATTAATATCCCAGATATAGATGCCTATGTAATGGTGTTTCAGGCCAATGAGCCCAAGATTACAATAACTGGGATGGATCACTTTGCTAGACCAGCTGCACAGTTTGAAAGTGAAAGAGGTGTTATTTTGTTACCTGACATCAGGATTGTCAGCACAGTCACTAAAATGGAGCATCCAGTGGACTTAAAAGAACATGACAGAGGTTTGTGTCTTTCTTTTAAATGTTATTATTTATTCTGTAACATGAGCCCTCTTATTTTTTAAGGGATAGTGCAAACAAGTCATGCAAAGGAAGTCAATTCACCCAGATTAATTTGAGCAATGTTAGGCCACAGTAATGATGTACTGAAGAAATTCAATTAAATACACTGAAAAATGTGTTAAATAGTGACAGATCAAAATGTGATTCAAAAAAACAGATTTTATATTTAGCATCTTCCCTAGTTCAAAATCTTCTTTTCATATTCTGTTGAATAACTTATTTTCATTAGAATCTCTCTATTTGTAACAGAATTTTGTTAATTGTACTGATAAAGTGAAAAGCAGTAACTGACTGATAGTTGAATTTTTAGTCTGTTCTTATGTGTCGAGCCCTGATACTGACTTGTGGAGGATACTTGAGAAGGTAATCTCATGCCTCAGTTTCCCAACTGTAAAATGTAAATATAATAATTTTAAAAGATGTTTTTCAGTGATGACAATTTATTCTAATGCTGAGCAATGTGTGTATTATTATTTAAGGTTGGGTGACTGTTCAAAGGATAAATTAGGTTTAAAATAATTGCACAGAAAGGAATCTTTGTTTTGAATGCTTGTGTGCAAGGTAAATGAAAGGTCTAGTAATCTGAGGAAACATTCTAAAAAGTATTTGTTGCACTAGACTAAGCAGTAACTAGATGTACAGATCTGGGGAAGATAAAATTGGTGATGATTTACAAGTTTAGGGGCATGGATTCCCTGAAGCCTGAAAATTTGGATTGGGTCTGCATTTTTGTGCAGATTAGAGCTGTACCTAGAGATCGGATACCCAAATTTACTGTACTAGGAGTAAGGAATCTAGGGCATAAGGCTTTTCTGTCTGTGCCTTCCTTCCCCAAAGGAAGGAAAGGCATCTCTAAAATGAGATGCACAAAATGGGCAGTAAGTTCCAAGATTGCAGTGTCTGTGTCTGCAGTGCCCTCAGGGAGCTGCTTAAGCAGTCCTGCCACACGCTCTGTGCTAAGTTGATCAGAGAATTTAAATGATAACTTGATACATTTCTCTTTTTCCCGTGACAGAATTATTTTTTTTTAACTCATACGTACTGAAGGATAGTCAGTTTATAACTTCATTTCTTTAGGTCACACAACACAGGATCTTGCCATTTATGATAATACCCTGCTCTTGGATAGATGGCCATGTCTTTGTAATGCAAATTCTTTATGGGCAGTAGAGTGTCTGAGAGAATCATCCAAGCATAGATATATTTGATGTGTATTTTTCCTGTTTGGTTCTCCTTGAGAAAAAAAAATGAATGTGTGGCATCAGCCTGGTATTGATACAGTATTGAAAACCAGAATTTTTTACATGGATTTATTTCCAAGATCAAATTTCAGTTTTCTACTTCCAGTGATGTTCTTGGATGCCTTTCATTACAGAGCAATATATTTTCTGTCTATCTCACTAGGTATTTGTAGGCCTCCATCATCATGGCACCTGAACAGACAAGACATTTCTCTTGATTTGTTTCAAGTATCCTGTATTTAATATCAGCACAAAACAGTTCAGATATCTTTGCAAAAATTGAAAGCCCTGATGCAAAGCACATAAAATGACTGAGCTGTTCTGTAATCCTTTATCTTCTTTTCCCTCTTTTTTTCATGATATGTGCCGTGGGTTCACAGCTGATAAGCCAGTGATAGTAGAGGAAATGCTCCACAACTTGGATTTCTGTGATGTTTTGGTCATGGGCGCAGAACTAGATCCTGAACAAGAGTGTTTAGAACTAGATCATGTGGAGCTCCAAGGAAAACATCTAGATGCCACAAATTCCACAGCAGGATATTCAATCTACGGTATGTTAGTTGAATTTGCCTTCCCTTATTTTGTCACACCAATTATGTTATTGGAATGAAAGCACTAATATGTAAGAAATTATGCAGAAATCTGTGATTTACTAGCCGTAAAAATATTCCAAGAGGGACTGCATCTCAAAAAGCACAGTCACTTCTTGATCTCTGGGTGTGCTGTATTTATCCTTTGGAATCTCAGCATCCCTCCTGCTACTCCCCCAAATAAGGAAAACGGCATCACTGCTTTCTTTAATGTGGGGTTCTTGTGGACCATCACAGAATCACACAGAATCACAAAATTAACTAGGTTGGAAAAGACCTCTGAGATCATCGAGTCCAACCTTTGACCCAACACCACCTTGTCTATCAGACCATGTCTATCAGTGCCACACTCAGTCTCTCGGTGACTCCAGCACCTCCCTTGGGCAGCCCATTCCAATGCCTGACCACTCTATCTGTAAAGAATTTCTTTCTAATGTCTAACCTAAACCTCCCCTGCTGCAGCTGAAGACTGTGCCCTCTTGCCCTACTGCTGGTTGCCTGGGGGGACATGTGGGTAGGAGGAGATTCCTCCTGTACAGCGCTGGTAACTCATTGGCCAATTCTTTCTTTTTATTAAGTAATTTATTTTGTATCTCTGCTGTTGTATTTGTCCCTCTCCATTATGGATCTACATTCACCTCCAAAGACTCTGCTCACATAGTCTAGGATCAGCCAGAGGCTCTATCAGGGAGTATTTGACGCTCTCTCATTTTCGGACCGTTCTGCCAACTTTCATATTTGCTGTGAGCATTTAGCCTCTCATGTATTGCACAGAGCAATGTTACATGGCCTCCCCTGCTCAATGTTACATGAGCCTGTCCCTGCTCTGCCCCCCCTGCAGGTGTGGACAGCATGTTCAACTACGAGCAGGTTCTGCGGCAGATCCGGTACCGGAACTGGGACACCGCTGCCACCTTCGACAGGAAGTTCAGGGTCAAGTGCTCCGAGCTAAACGGGCGTTACACGAGCAACGAATTCAACTTGGAGGTAAGCAGTTATGCAGTCAAGCTTTCTTATCTAGCACTGAGGCTGAGCACTGGCCTAGCTTCAGCAGCGTGGTGTTTTCTTTCAAATATGTAAAATGACTGACGCGCTCAGGTAAGTGTAACCAAAAAGAGAAAAAGATGCTAAGTTCCATTCAAATAGGAAGTCGACTTCTGAGGGTATTCCTCAGTGTGGGTCTCTATTCTGCTGTGAATTGAGGAGATGACCCTTCTCTCAAACTCCACTAACACAGAGAATTACTCCTGTTACACAAAATGCTTAGACATAGTCATAACCACAGGAATATTTAGATACCTCTGTGGAGTCCACGTGTGCTGGTTCTAAGGCCAATGCAGCACAGTGGCTCAGGGACTGAGATAACTGCTGGTTCACCTCAGCAGGACTGGTGGACCTGTTATGAGGAACTCTCTCATCCAGCCTAGAGCCCAGATACCAAGTTACCACAGGAACGGGCAGGGCCTTCTTAGCAATAGGGTCAAAACTTGTTAATTGTTTTTATAAGCAGTTATTAACTTAATAATTGTTAATAAAATAAAGTTTTTACATGTTATATTTAGATAACGCCTAAAAGCTAATTAGTATAGAGAAAAGAAAAAATCATTCCTTATCCAGACAGGTAAGTCAATAAAGTCCTGTTCTGTGCCACTTAATAGTGAACAGCTAGAAATGTTAGAATGCATTGCTCATCATAGAACTTAGAAATATATCAAGCTGTGTATTTTTTTACTGGCATAAAAGAGTTAATTTGGCCTTTAAGATCTATGTAATACTCTTCCTATCTGCTCATGTAACTTAATATACGGAGCCAGCAGGCTTGGAATATAAAACACTTTTTAGTATCTAATCCCTTATTTTTCTCTTGTACCAGGTTAATATTCTACACAGCTCCAACTCCAACTTCATGGACCATGTAAATCATATGATAGTACAACCACAGTTTCTCCAATCTGTTCAGCACCCTGAGGGGAGTGTAAGTGCTGTTCACAACTCAGGTATGTGACACCTTTACAGAGACTGCTCATAATGATTCAGGTATGTCAGTGTTTCCCTTGTGAGCCAGCCTGGGCAACAAACAAAAGCCCTGAGGTCCAGAGTTACAGCTTGTAAAACCTCACAGAGACTGTTGCACAAGTGTAAAAGAAGGTAACATTTAATTCTATTCTCTCATTAAAACCTGGTATCCTTTTTTAAGGTCTTCATTAATGGTTTTGTACTCTGACCCACACAGTTAAGAAAATGTCTTTTTTCTAGTATTAAATGGTATGAAGGGTAATATTTATGGTCATATTGTCTTTGTTCATCTGTATTTCTGTGGCATATTAATTTCTGCCTGCTCTTTTCTAAACAAAAGGAAGAAATGTTTGTATTATTTTTTAAATATATAATTGCCTCGATGACTCTGTTAGCTGCTGTCAAGGCCTCAGTCTGCAGCTCTCTGGAGAGAAGACAGGTTCACCTAGCCATGTGCAGTGGCCATTAACATATATTAAATACAGAATTTAAAATATATTTTTAAAATATATATGAAATCTGAAACCTTTTCAATAGAGTCAAACCCAGGGCAGAGATAACTCTTTAAAGGTTTGATTCTGAAATCTTTTTAGCTGAATGATACATATGTAAAGAAGTAAAGCTGATGTAAAGTGTAGGTGGTTATAAGTAATTATATACAAATATGCTTAGACGATTACTGTATTTTTCTTTACACTTGTACAGACAGTTCCCTAAAATGAAACAGAATTTTTACTAAGTGAACTGTTGCAAACTAGTTCTTTCTTCTTTAACATTGTTCTGATTTCAGACTTCCATTCTTATGGGCAGGGCTAGGTGATAAAATGCATTATAGAACTACTATAGCTCCTGGAACTGCAGTACCTCAGGAACAAGGGTACACAGAAAGTGGCAGCACTTCTCCACTAACATATTTATGGAGCTGATATATGGTAGTTCAGAGCAATTTCTTCCTGTGGCTAGGTGGAGGCAGAGGCTTCCCAGAGTGCAACCAAACAGTGAGGAACAATGTCTTGAATCCTCAGGTGTCTCCCAGAAAGGCTGTAACACAAGCAAGTATAGTGGCAATGCATTATTTTATTTCTTGGAGAATGAGATTCAAATCACAGTGTAAGTGTTTGAAACCTCTGTAAGCTTTGAGATGCACTTTTTCTCCCACGCAAGGTTGATGCCTCAGCTGTGATCAGAAGGGGTCAACATATGAGTAAGAGAAGGGAACCTTATTGCAAAAGCACTTGTTCTGAAACTAATGTGTTCTGCACTGATTAAATACTTGTCTTCTGTAGTAAAGTGGCTCAAAGAACAAATGGTAGGCATGCTCACTTTTTAGTTATGATTTATAATGCTCATTATAAGGTATCTGTAAGCACCATTCCTGTATGCTTTGCCTTAGTAGGTGGGCACCTGTCAACACTTTCAGAAGCCCCAGGCACATGGCAGATGGCTGTCCTGATTCTCAGCCCAAGGGAAGAGATGCTGTGGGTTAAAAATTCACAGCGTATTTAGTGGGGTTTAGGCGATTTGTTCCACAAATATAAGTTTTTCCACCTTTTGTTGCAGTTGTTCCAAGTGTGGCCACCATTGTGATCATAATCTGTGTGAGCATCCTCATTTTTGTCATAACCTTGGGCGTGTACCGGATCCGCACAGCTCACCAGCACGGCTCTGCAGACCACGAGGGAAGCAAAGAGAATGAGATGGATTGGGATGATTCTGCTCTGACCATCACCGTCAACCCCATGGAGGTACATACCCGAGGCACAATGTTAGATCATGGCACTGCCAGCAGTCACTGCCTGGGCTGGTAGCTCACTCAGAAGTGAGTTTTAAACCTCTTTCAGTTGTTCAGGCTTGGCAGAACAGTTGTATATGCACTCAGGACCCCATCTCAGTTTTCAGCTCTGGAAACCATGATAATATATAATTGAGAACTTAATATTTGTTGTAATATATAATCACTAATTAGGATGGTGAAGAATTCTTGGGTACAACAACACTTCTCTCCATCCATGTTTGTACCCTAAGTACCCAAGATTATATAGTTTCTTTGGTTTAACCTTTGAATGTAAGCACTACTACACTAAAAGGAGGGGAAATGATCAGAGTTTAAAGAAACCGATATTGATGGCTTAAATTTTGGCAGCATGACTAACAAAGATATTGGTTTTGACATTCTGTTCTTCTTACATTAGCTTTTGAATATTTGCTACCCAGTCATACCAGATTTGATGCCTCATAGTCACATAATGGTGGAAATCAGATTTTCCCAGGATTTTAGCATTTCTAAATGTGGACTACATGCTCATATTCTCACAGCCACTGGTTAGCAAGAAAGCACCTTTCTCCTACTGTCTCTCTTTCATTTCTTTGAATGTACTGTAGAAATATGAAAAGCCTCACCAGACAGAAGAGGAGAGTGAGGAAGAAGACATAGAAGATGAAGAGGAAGACACAACCAGTGCTGAATCAGATGAAAGCGAAGAGGAGGAGGAAGAAGAGGAGGAAGAGGAAGTGATTGTCCAAAAGGGAGACAAACAGAATGCCACCAGGCAAGCGCAGCTGGAGTGGGATGATTCAACACTCCCATACTAACAGCCCTGCAGCCATATCACACTTTTGTAACAACCAATGCAATGGTTTTTCAGAGTCTATGAATTCATTGACAGGATTTGAACTTCTGCTTGCCTGTTTTGCCTAAAGTGATCTTGTTGTAGTAATTGGTAATGATAGAACAGACCCTTTTCTTACAAAGCCTGGAGAAAACATGGTACAAACCTACTGGCCTACCCAGGAATAATAAAGTAACTAGAACCTGATCTGTTAGCAAGCATAGTTCTCATTTCCTATTTCTATACTACAGATATGTGACAAAAGTCCTGTCACTCGACCCATACAGGTTTTTGCCTTTGTTTTTTTTTTTTTTCCACACAAGAGAGATTTCAGCTTATTATGAAGAATTACTTGTATGGGTCTAAATAACAGTCTCCAATTGACTTCAGACTCCTACAGGTGTAAAAAATAATCCACCTCTAAATTGGGACAGGGTTTTAGTGCTACAGGGGACAGAGACTGAATTCCATTTGTCATCTCGTCCTGCCTTCTTGGATTTAACTGTCCTTTACAAGGGAATAATCTAGGACCTCACATGGAATGCGTGTGTGCCTATGTAGAAGTGGACAGTGTATTTTTTTCAGGCATGCTGTCAGACCCTCAAGAGAGGGATTTTTGTCCAACCTACCGACAGAAATTTAAGAGAGTTTAATAAAAACCAGCAACAAGGGGCTGCTGAAGGTTACAAAAAAACCCACAAAAAACCACCCAACTTGTTCTGTGTCCACAGATGCAGTAATATGATCTTATGCAAACTGTAAATTCTAATGGGATTGATTCACTGAAAATCCGTAGAGCTGCTCATTAGTTATGGATTGAGCAATTTGCAGCAAATCGATGCTTTAAACTGTCTGTCCTGTGAAATCATTAGCTTGCTGCAGCATCACACTGAAGTAGTGGAAAATAAGTGACCCCATTATTCCATAGCTATGTATGGCTGGGATTTAAACAATTATTTTAGATGAGGAAAATGTTCCCTTTTGTTTAATGAATGCCAGCTGGAATTCCTGTCTGACTACAAAACATTATGCCCTATTTCTTCTGTACCCCTGCCCACCTATAGTGGCACAAAAGAAAGGAACAACATACACAACTGTCAGCTCTCTTTTGTGCTCATAATTCTCCCTTATTTCTTCTTCCTGAAGCCATTTATGTTGAGAAAAGGTTTTATAAAGTAGAACAAGGAGAAATAAAACCTACCTGGAACCAAAATAATTGAAAACAAAAACTAAACTCTTAAGAGGTTGAGAGAGTATTTTAGTTTGTTATGGTAACACAGCATATTTTTCTTAAACACTGTTTAAAAAGTTTAAAAAAAAAAAAAAAAGCAAAGCTACGTACAACGTGTTGATAAGTCTGTGTGGTGTGGTTTTTGTCCCCTTTCCATAAGTACCTTTGCATCTTCAACTGCTCTGCATCCCAAATGCTGCAGCACTTGCTAGGAAAGCTGCTCTAATGCATAAAAACAAAATGGCATGGAAGAGAATGCTGCTTAGTGGCTTGTCTGTTGTTTTTTGTTTTTTTTTTCCCTAAATACTTCATTTACAATTTCATCACTGACTTCTGCTTTTGTAATTTGCTGTTTAAAATGAGCTGCTTCCTATGCTCTTCTCCCCCAGAGAAACAAGCAGTCTTACCACAACAGGACCTTCCCAAGCACCCCTGAGTTGGTGTTGCAAAGAGTAAATGGAGCAATCTTTGGGGTATCCATCCCCCTCAATACCAAATTATCAGCAGCTCCTGAATATCTTGGAATATAGAGAAAATATTGTGGGTTTGGGAGTTCTTTAATTCCAGTTTCTGCATCTGACAGTTGAAGGGAAATACTGACAGCAACTAGGCCTTGTGGTTTAATAACTAGAAAGTAAATGAAAAAACTCTATATTAAGTTTAAAATTAGAGATCTTCAATGCTTTTATTTATTGTGCCAACAGTCATGTTGTCACATGACTGTTAAGACTGGAAATACAGGAGTTTTCTTATGTTAGCAGTCCTGTTTTATTTTTATTCTCTCACACGTATTAAACTTAGAAGAATATTTGCAGAATCAAGCCCACATAAACACAATTTATCTGCAGAAATGACAATTCTAAAAATGTCCAAAATTTCTGTTTAGTAAAAAATTAATATTAATATTTCTGAATATCCTGAACTAAAATTTTATGTTAGATCGTTTCCTAGCACCCTACTACCCTAAATCATTTCCTAGTGTAATTTTTGTTAGTGACATGAAGCAGGCTCTTTGTGGTGCTTGTTATCAGTGCATATCAGCAAATCTTTCTGCTCAGAAAAAAAAATATTTAAAATTAAAAGTAGATATTTTAAAGTCAATTTCAGATTTAAAACTGGATTTAAATTATTTTTAAGTTTCTGTTATTCCTGATTATTATTTTTTTTTTAACATAGCAAACCTTAGGGCAACTTGAAAACAGCAATTTACAACCTTATTGACAGCCTTTAATTCTTTTATGTTTGTGAATTCATCAGTGTGTTTCTCCATCTAATAGATTTTTATCTTTTTGTTACTGGAAGCAAATCTTTTCAGGATGTACTCATACATTACACAAGAAGCAAACAAAGTATTTTCTCTACTGTAAATAAACCTACATTTTTAAACCTAAGCAAAGTAATACAGGCATGTGTGTTATCACTAAAATTTGGTTTGCAATAAGATAGTCAGCAAACTAAAATGTTTCACTGTACTTATTTTAGATTACTCATTGGAGTGCATTATGCAGCTTTTTCATTTAAATAAACAGAAAAATCCTTTTCACAAAATGTTAGTGAGAATGAGATACTTGTTCACAAAAAACACCCTAGAATATTTGTATAGCACTGACAGCAATGGACTCCTGAGCAAAAGCCTACTTATAGAAAATCAGAAAAATATCACTTCTAAAACAATTTTAACAGTATTTCCTCCCCTCCATGAATTATTTTTTGATGTAAACTACTTGCTAAAAAAAAAAAAAAACAACAAAACCAACAAAAAAACCAGAGCACATACACATATGTGTGCACACATACACACACACGTGGGATTTTTTTCCCCTAATCAAAAGCCAAGAGTCTCTCCCTTCCTCTCTGGAAGAAGTGAATGACTGAGGTTGGAAAAGACCTCTAAGATCACTGAGCCCAACAATTAACCTGACACTGCCAAGCCCACCACTAACTCATGTCCCCAAGTGCCACATTTACACATCTTCTAAAGCCCCCCAGGGGTGGTGACTCCACCACTGCCCTGAACAGCCCATTCCAATGTCTGACAACGCTTTCAATGAGGAAATTTTCCCTAATATCCAATCTAAACCTCCCTGGCACAACTTGAGGCTTTTTCCTCTTGTCCTGTGACTTGTTACCTGGGAGAAGAGACCGACCCCCACCTGGCTTTAAACTCCAGTCAGGTGGTTATAGAGACCAAGAAGGTCCTCCCTGAGCCTCCTTTTCTCCAGGCTAAACATCCCCAGCTCCCTCAGCTGCTCCTCATCAGACTTGTGCTCCAGACCCTTCCCCAGCTCCATTCCCTTCTCTGGGCTCACTCCAGCACCTCAGTGTCATGAGGTACATATTTTTACAGTAGCAATAAACAAGTGTATCCAAAGAAGAGGTACCCATACTACAGGAATCCATGACAGCACAGGTCTAAAATGACATCACATCAATGATGCCTTTAAATCTTTAAAATTCTAATCTAAGGCTAGGAAAAGCTGCAAAACCTACAAATGCAAATTCCAGATGGTGATATACAATGTTATCTGAATTAATATAACTGCCTAAATGGCCATTCTTGATTAATAACTCTCATTTCTTTTTTTTCACTTCTGCTCCCTCTGCAGGTGTTTTATCTTTGCAAGTAAACCTTAAAATGCACAGTTGTCGAGGTTAATCTTAGTATTTACTACATTGGCTGACACCAGTTCAAACCAGAAATAGACATGTAGGGTTCTTGACATGTACTAATTAAAATAATTAAAATAAACTGTTGCTATTTGTTCATTCAAACAGGTAATAATATTCTGCAGTGGTGGCATGACTGCTTTTTACCTGGTGGTGATCTCCCTTGCCAAGGGCTAATGGGAAGGAGCAGTTAATTTCCATTTCTGGTATGTTGTGGTGCTGAGCTTGCTGAGCATCTGTGCACCATCCTTACTTCATTCTGGAAGAAAATAAGATTTAGAAAGGATCAGAGGGTTATAAATTTCCTCCTGTGGGGATGAAATCCACTGTCTCCATTGCAGGAGCTGTCCCTGCCTGACCTTAAACTGAAAATAATGGCATTGGAGATCATTAGCCCTAGGTGAAGGACCAGTCAGAGGGTAATGCAGTAGCAGCCCTTAGTTCTCTTTGGCAAAGCCTTTTGAGCCCTGCACCTGTTTTGTGTCTCAGCTGTCTCTTTCCCTGACCTGTAACCTCAGAGGCAGCTTTAATCTTTTACCTGGTAGGGATCCCAGCACTTTGGACACAAGACTTCCTCCTCTGAAAGTTTTGGTGCCAGCACATACAGCACTCCAACTCCAACCCTCCAGGCTTAGCAGAACAGGGGAATGGAAGACTGTACTGGGGTGACAGCAGGTAAAGGTCTGGTGGGACTGAGTTGCTCCTGGCATACTGGAATACAAACTTAAGGATGTTTGCAAAAACATCCCCTTAGAGAGGGAGAGGAAACAAAACTGAGTACATCTCCAGGGCTTCCTCTTTCCTTAATTCACACATGCTGACTACGTGAAAGAATGAATAGCTTAAAACCTGATATCCCCCCTGAGACTGGGGATATCCTGGATCACCAAGTTCTGCCCTGATAAAATTACTGAATAAAAATAGGGAGAATATTTGAGGGAACCTGAATGTGCAGTAGACTCATCTAGATGTTTCACTTACTTTTGACCACAAGTCTTGGGGTTAATGCACCTCTAGGTGATCCCTGTAGCTGCTGACCTTAGCTGAACTTAAAGAAGTTCTCCTTCAGCAGTTGGGCAGATCTAAAGGAGATAGGAGAAAAAAGCCAAACAAACAACAAAAAACAAAGATCAAAAAGATTGTCAAAGACAGCAGAAATAAAACCACCTTTTAAATCACTAAACTTATTCCTATTAATTGCGCATGATGCTGTGCTATATAAATATAATCTTCCTCAAGCTTCAGCCAGTATCACCAAACACACAATAACATTAGGTTTTTCCCTCCTCAGGCACAGAGAATGACAGGCTTTGTTCATGCCACAGCCTCATTGCCCACAGTCTGCAAAGCTCCCAGTGTAGAAGTGTTCCTGCAAACAGTGTAAGAGTGACAGCTGCCCCATCCCTCAGAGATCGCGGGGTTCCCACAGAAACCAGCACTCCCGTGCTTATGTCCAAACCATGCAACACTTTGTAATAGAAAATAAATACTTTTGACAGCACTCAGAAGCAAATAGTGATCCTGTAAGATTCTTGTACATTTGGGCCAAATGTTTTTTAAAAAATTGAAAAGACATAACAAGCAGTTTAGGTAGTGGTGTAAACCGGAATGTTTCAGGTTCCCTAATGCTGCACGTTTCAGATTTCCAGTGAAGATGTCAGTCTTAGATGAACCAATGAAAGACTGTGTATCCAGTGATCAGACTTTGCTTCAGCTCTAGTCTCTCCTAGAATCCAGCTGGTTTTTTGTTAGTATGGAGAATAAAGACACAAAGAATAAAGATGACCACTAAAGTTATAGCAGAGCGAAACTCATACTCTCGACACACTGAATCTCAATAAATACTTCTGCTAAATATATAAGGAAAATTACTCCAGTGATATCTCAGGAAGTAATTATACTTCATTACCTTTGCAGGAGTAGCAAGGTTCAAGCCTGGTATAGTTTGTTTTTGGTTTTCCCTAAAGAAGACATAATTGTTAATTTCATAAACCTCTAACAAAGGGGTTTAAAACAATAAACAATTCTAGTCCACATTATTGAAGCTTAGCAGGACAAAATTAATCCAGAAGGTTTTGTATGTTTATAACTTCATTCCTGCTAATGAAAAGGCAGATACCAGATCAGGTAACCTTTTTCCCTAGAGGCATTTTGCTGCCTTTTGAGTAGGTATCAACAGTGGTTCGGTATTTACAGTTTCCATGTCTCTGCTGGCAAATAGGAATAGTGAGCCTGACATCCTTCACAAAGCACTTTGAGCCCTGTAGATGAAAAGCATCATCAAAGAGCTTGGTGGTGTTATGGTTCAATAATTCTCTTGCAGCTCTGCTTATATCCCTCATTGTGGAGCAAGTGCCAAAGGAAAGACACAATGGTTACAGTCAAGAACTTTGGGTTGAGGCTTCATTAGTTATTGCCTGTAAAGAAACACTCTCAATAGTGTGAAGCACTACAATCATTAAAACAGTGTTCAGGAAAAGCCCTCGTGCCTATTTTCAGCACTAACTTGTGGGGAAATTGTGCATTCATCAGCTGTTGAAGCTACACGGCCGAGTATTGTCACTATTTACATCTGTTCTGAGAACAAAGCAGGAGGATTTTTTTTCCCAGCTAAGTACATTGTGCAATAAAAGAGTTCAGCTTTCCTTAGGCAAGGTGCATAAAGCCTGCCAGACGGAGAGAAGCTGTCTCCAAATAGGGAACAAAGGTTTTACAACCATGTTCTATCCTCATACTTAAGAAACCCAGAAAACTTCATGGGAGTAAAAAGGTTTTCTGCAGCCCTACTTGTTCTTTTTGTATAAATCTGGATATAGTTTTGGGTTTTCAGAGGCGTGTAACTTCCCGATTGGATATAAAGTTCTTTCAAGTGTCTTTAGGTGTATTAAGCCATAAATCTATTTTTGGTTGAAGATTTCAGGATATCCTAAAGGAAAAAAAAAAATTAAAATTACAATTTTTTTTTTTAGTTTCTACTGCTGCCTCCCCTAAATATATAAACAGATACAAAAGATTTGATCAGACAACCCTGGCCAAGTCTGTGACTACCATGACATTCCAAACCAGTAGTAAAATTGGCAGTAAATTCTTGTCCACAATCTGCTTAATGTGCACACGTACAGATGTTGGTGGATGGTTGTTTTAGCTGGGCAGGTTCTTTGGAATGTGTTTTTTGGGCAGGTTCTTTGGAATGTGATTTTCTTTGGAAAATCAGTTCTTTTATAAAATCGAGTTATTATTTAGGTAGGAGTGAACAGGAAAATAGAATACTGCATGAATAACAGAAAGAGTTAAAGTTTACAGTTGATGTGAAAAAAGTTGGAATTTAATCTTGTAGAAAAAAAGAGACATTAAAAGTGTGAGTATCAAATGGTAAGAAAATGAAAACATGCTGTTTTCATGTCCAGAACTACAGCTATCAGAATGAACAAGAAAGAGAATGAATATGGGATGTTGAAGGGTTCTGAGATGACATCCATGTGTATGCACACATGCACATGTGTGTGTACACACACATATATATATATGTATAAAAAAAAAAATCACCTACTTAATCACACCATGGAGGTGGTGGTTGTGGTAACAAACTAGAACCTCCAGGTATTTAGCATGGTTGATATTGTCTCTAGCTGCTTCCTTAGGTACAGTTACATTACCTCCAGCAGAGCTGGGGAGGGAGCAAGACCGGGAGAGATGTTGCTACACTGTGCGTACATTAAAGTAGGAAATTTTAGGGCCAAGGAAGGCCCGTGGGAGTTTGGGGCAAAACATTCTGTCTGCTGTGACTCAAATTCAAGGGTACAGGTACCACACATTTTAATTTGAGATAGGAAGTGGAGCTTTTGGACACAGACAACTGTGTTGATTAGTTTTAGAGATTT